GCGTCACACTCTGGGAGATGTTCTCCTACGGCAAGCAGCCCTACGGCGATATGCGCGGCATCGAGGTCACCTTCCATTTTCTTTATATCACAAATATTAATAATTATATTGATTTGGGTCTAGCTCTGGCTGTCGGTTCAGGAATAATATTTTTTTCAAGTCAAATAAGTATTTTTATTAATAAACACCTTTGAAGCAAATAACAAATGATGTATTTATTTTCAGGCGATACAAGTGGTGGAAAGTGGTCAGCGTTTAGAAAGGCCGGAGGACTGTCCGGACGAGATCTACCAGGTGATGCTGGACTGCTGGGCGTACAGCCCCGACCTGCGGCCCACGTTCAGCAAACTGGTAGATGTGTTCTCGCAACACCCCGACTACGTCAACATCAGCCAACTCGCGCTCGACAATGATGATGCTACCGTGTGAGTGCTTGCACCCTGCCACTGCGCGCTCAGTGTGCGTGTGCCTTTACTTTTGTACAATGATGTATGAATGGGTTGTGTCTGTATGATTGATATTGAATGATCAATGTAAAATGTATTTACAAATGCAGGAATCTCTTATTACAAAAAAATAACTTGTGAAATATAAAATTATAATTTTAAATGTCACCAAAATGCATTTTGAAATGTCATATTAATAGTTTCATGAATGAAGGAATTTACCTCAACGAAAAGGCTTCCTTAGGTGTTTTGACCTCACTTATGTGCTCTGCATATATGTAAATAATTATTATTTTGTTTTTGCATTTTTTTTTATTTTTATGGATAAGCATTTATTTTTTTATTTGTTAAAAATATACTCATACGTATTAGACAACCCATTCATACTACAACCGGTAGCAAAGCCTCACAATTATTTCCATCTTGTTATTTCAACATTTTATTTAATGATTTTTAAAATATTGCAATGTATTACAAAGTATTTTTGTATATTATTTAAGATGTGCCCAATGTTCAAAGCTTTATTAGTAATTTTATGTATAACCTAGTGTCTAGGTGATCCAATGTTAAAGATATATTTATTGACAATTTTCATTAGAAAGTTCTTTAGTTATCAGAGTAAACAATAGATTTGTTGCATGTATTTGACCTCTGTGGAGAAAATATACTTTCAAACAGTAGTAAATTATAATTAGAACTGTATTAATTGAAGTAAAATTATTTTTTTTTGTTTTTTGCGTAAACTTATCATAGCAATTTGACAGTACAAGTGAAAAAATATCTGTTAGAAATTCTTTAAAATATATTTTTATATAAGCATGCCATGATGTGCCTGACTATGTATTTATAAGTTGTATATAAATAAGTAAGAATCTATTACTTTTTAAGGCATTTTATAACTCAAAAGTAAATACTATATTTAGATAGGATAAGAATTAAAAATTCCGTTTTGACGTACATTTGTTTTTACATTATATAAACCAACGTTTTATGTTCCTGTATTTGATATATTAAGTTGAATATTGACAATTTGATACCTTTTATAACATACATTCCTTTTTAGCGATGTATTTCTATATAACAATTTACAATGTAAGTCAATTAATTTAAATAGATTTTGTTTTGAATTAATTATATAATATATAAAATGAAATAGGAACAATGAATTTACTAAAACAAAATGTAACAATGTTATCTTTTTAATTTTAAAATTTTATTATTTTCGAAATATTTTGGTGCACAATTGAATATGAAACAGTATTGCCAGAGGCATGCCATAGAGTAGTGTGATTTGATTTTCAGTTGCCATTAGGTTGTGTAAAACATGTACAAAATTTTATCTAGTTACCTAAATTGTATCTGTTTTTTTTTATATATAGGAATTTATATTAAATTCTATTTAATACGAGTCTGACTTAGAATTATGAAATTATATAATTTTGACAGATTATAATTTTTAATATAGAATGGAATTGTGATATCTATATTTATAAATTAAAAATTAATTGAATTTGTTTCGTTTTATTTATCATATTGCTATATATTTGGTAGGTTCTTCAATGGAACCTAAAACTTGTCTTGGATTAAACTTAATCTGTCTTAGAAATTGTTAATTCCATTCTTCACAAAGAAGACGTTTTTTTATATTATTTTTATCTTGGAAGAGATAATGATAGAAGTACAACAGACAGACAAGTTAACAAAGACGAGACTGTTAGTGCATTCACTTTATTATTCAGTCACACTAAAGTTCAATATATTTGTTTATCTTATCTTAATTTATCCATTATTTTATATTTTTAACACAACCACAAAACAAAACACTTTCAAAAAGAGTATCATAAAGTTTTTGGTCTGCAACCATAATTCTTTCATTTTTTGTACCTATTGATTTTGGTATTACTCTAAATTCAGTTAAAATTACTCCGAAAGCTTAACTTCTAAGAAGTTCTATATTAAGCCTTACGCCTAGGTTACATTAAATTAAAAAAAAATTAAATTAATTTTACAACTACTATAAATAATTATGTAATGAAGTATTTAATTATTACTAATATTTTTAAACTTCAGAAACAAAAAGCAGCCCAATTTTAAAATTCAAAATCTATTATTGTAATTACCGTTAGTTTGAACTTTTTTGTAACCTTTTTGTTGATTCTTCAGAAAACGAATAATTTATTTTAAACTTTTTATACCTAAATATTAATTCTACATTCACTGTAAGGCGGGGGCGGAGTCTCCGAGCGATTTGGAACTCTAATCGCATCAGCTTGTACCACACGCTGTCCGCCCTCAGGTACCGCTTCTCTTTCAGGCAGAGACAATTGCCTTCGGAACTGAGGTGGAGTTTCTAAATTAGGATTCAAAATATTGTTCCATAACAAATTAGCTCTCAAATCGCTGTCGTTAAGTCTACGTGTTCTTCTGCGCTGTTGTCTCGTGTCGGTGCGTGAACAAAACAGATTACCACATTTGCAGAACTGTCGTAGCCATATGTATGTGCCAACCACACCGATAGCAAGACCCACTTCTAAACCAATAACGAACGCTTGAAACGCCGAGAATTCTTTATCGAATTTCTTAAAAGGTGTCAAAGGTGTTGTTTGTGTCGGCGCTGGTTTTGTTTCATTTTTTGTTATATTCCAAACGCGATTTATATCAATTGGTTCTCTCGTTTCGGTTACCATTGAAATCATTTTCTCTGACATTTTTGGTAGTTTCTTTTTACACTGCCTAGTGTATGTTATCCCTCGAGACATGATCCACGACTCGACAGCTATAAAACTAGGATTACACTGCCAATATTCATTACGCAGTTCTATTCTCTCCAACTTTCTCAATGGACGTAAAACATCTACATTTATGGAGATCATATAATTTTCGCTTAAATCTATCTTTTTTAAATTTGGCAGTCGAGTGAAGAGTCTATCGGGCAATGATTTTATACGGCAGTTGTTGAGGTTTAATATCTAAAAAGAATATAAACATATTTTAATAAACATTTTTAAGCAATTTGTTCCTTAATTAACGGCTTAATGTTACATATCTTACCTGCAAATTCGTATGCATTAAAAAAGGTTCATTTTTAAGGTTTTCAAACACATTTCCCGATAGATCCAATGTGTCTAGTTGCGGTGTATCCCAAAACAGATCAGCTGGAATATAACGGAGCCTGTTGTTGCTCAGATCCAAATAAACTAAACTGTCAAGGCCAGCGAAAGCGTGCAGCCCGATCCAAAATATTAGATTGTAAGATAGATTCAAAATCTGTATTGATGTGTAGCCGAGTTCCTGAAAATATGGTAAAAATCAAATGTCGAAAAGTCAAGGAAGAAAGATTATATAGAAATTTAAAAAGAAGTCGAGTACCAAGGTAAACGGTATTTAGGAGCTTTTTCTGATCGCGATTAAATAACCGCAAAACATCTCTAAACTCCTGTGTTGTTTATAGCTTAAAGCAATATCAATCACAACAAACAAAAGCACATGTTTCCTTACCTTGAAGCAAAAGTTGTCAAGTTCACTAATAACATTATGGCTCAAACTGTACACTTGAACTTGTTTGGGCACCCCCACCCCTACACTAACGATGTTCTGGTCCACGCACGTAGCTTTGTTCAGTTCATTTTCCATGTCACAGTCACATTGCTTAGGGCAAACACTTTCTCCCGCACACGCAGCAATGTACAAAATAAACATAAATAAATTCATCCCCATTTTCCTTGCACCACTGCACTTTCACAGTAACTCAGCATTATGATTTACTGTTATTTCCAATAACATGTTAACTGCACTGACGCATACTTTCACACATAAATAGAGCAATGTAAGAATCGCTGTCTTCGAGTGTATGTACAAGATAAGATAGCAAATTATCTTTTATATATAAATATAGATTACTTTTATACATGCTAGTGTGATCGCAAAGGTGCGGTCCTATCGAATGAGTTTTAATATAATTTATGTCGCTTACGAAAATTGTTATTAAACATTTAATAAAACATTGTGTTAAACAATCATAGGTTATCGTTTAACCTTCAAAACATGAATTTTAGTGGACTGGATATTTTAAAATACAGCATGTTTTTTCCTTAATGACGAATTTTAATTCTATCCTCTGAAAAGAGGTAGGTATTTAATATTGTGTAAAATGAAAAATGTGTACTATTTAATTTAGTACCTATTTTTGTAATGAAAAAAAAATTACACACAAAGTAAAGCTTTAACTGGAAATAAAAATATAAAATCTATGAATATTGGTAAAAAACAGACAAGTCTCATTTAGTGTTAATATTATATTTACATTATTTAACACTGATTAATCTTATGTGAATATATTAGAGTTCTGCCTGTGCTGTGTGGTGTAGCAACGCTTCATTGTGTAGTCAATACTCATAACTGCGTTCCTCACGTCGAACACTGATGCATTGATTGTTTCGAATGTTCCTGCCAATCTGTCTACTGCCATAGCCTAGTATACGGAAATACTTATATTATTAATTATCACACTTATTGGTTTCTGAGACCAAAAACTGTGTATAAAAATTGTTATATTTTTGACAAAACAGAGATAAAATATGTTTTATATAGAGATTTTGGTCTTAGAAAGCAACAATCATGCGTTTGAGAGAACCATGGTAACCATGAAGTAAGATTGAATGGAAGTAAAAGCTATGACAACTTTTAGCAAGTAGTTTTAAACATATTACAGTAAAAGTACAACAAAAAGTTATTACATCCATAATCCAAAAGTTAATAAAGATTATAAAAATTAAACATAAATAAATACCGTATTTTTAAAGCACACTGGTTGGTAATACTTAAGTCAAGCATTTGTACATATGCATTTCTAGCATAAAAACTCAATGAATAAAAAGTTACCTGTTTATGTGATGCCTCCGCTATTTGTTCCAGAGCTTTAGAACTGTTGAGAGTAGCTTCCGCCATTTGGGACAATGCTAAGGCCTGTTGGTCCATAACATCTACCTGTAATAAAATAACATCACAGAATCTATCAATAAATAGAATTATTTTTTTTACTTTGTTATGTCTGTTTTAACAGTAAAGTTTTTTTTTTTCAGTGAAAAAATTTATGCAGAAATTAAGAAGTAATTAATAAAAAATAATTAAAAACATGAAAATATTAAAGACAGATTAAACATACCAATTTCTCCATAACACTCATGTGTCGTTCGTCTGTATCAGTAGATAGTAACCGGTTAGCACTGCTCGGGAATCCAACATCTTCCTCTTTACGGAAAATATTGTCCATGGCATCATCGCCATTACATGCTTCTTGTTTGACAGAGCTCTTTCTTTCTGTCAACAAATTTTTGTAATTAAGGTTACGTTTCATGTATGAAACTAGCAAAAAGGAGTGCTTTAGGAGGGGTCACAAGGCTTCTATCTTGACATAATTTGTAAAATATAATGTTTAAAAATGATTGTTATGTGTAATTATATATACATAGATTAGTTAATGGTGTATCATACAAAATGGTTAATACAATAAAATTCTGATGAAATAAAATCATCTATTTTTTTTTATAATTTATCTAAACTTACTTGTATGCTTAATATTAGGGGTAAGATCTAGAATCCTTAACTCGAGGACTGTCAGAGGATCAGTTGATCTACCTTCAGCTATTTGCTTCTGTTTTAATGTTATACTTCGTCTTTTGTCTGACCAGAACTAAAAGAATTTTGTAATATAGATAGAAGTTACATATATATACAAATATTATAACAAGTAAGCTGTTTTAAAGAAACAGTTTACTTTGCTATATTTGTTATAAAAACATTTTGTTATTTTGTGTAAGGTTTCATTCAAAAAGAAGTTGCTGCCTTTGTGTATTTACAATTCTAGAGTAATAAGAATTTGGAAATTAGAATTTTATATTTACCCCCCTAATTCCTAGCAAGTTGTAAGCAAATTTTGAAAGTCTAAAATAAAAAGACATGCATAGTTTACCTTTATCCAACCTTTTACTGATTTTGTAGTACCTTCTAGACCATTAACTATATTAGATAGTTCCATCCAAAGGGTTTTAAACCTTTCATTACTCATACCATCTTTTTGTTTTCGGTGAGCCAAGTCTGGATGTTTTTCCATGAATTCCACAATTGCTTTCACTTGGGCAAATGAAGGTCTGGATACCTAAAACCGTTATAATTAATAGATTCAACATAAATGGGATATATGTATTATTATCAAATTTAGTAAATACGAAATTAGACTTTTTTTATTTAAAGATACAGTATACTTACACGACCTGCATTATCAGGTATTTCAGAGTCATCGATATCAGCCATTGTTTAATTACTATTTTTTTTAAAGCTAAAATTTATATAAAGGTTGACTATATAATTTACTTCTTATAAAGTAAAAACTCTCTATATCAGAAGGTTACTGGTATTTTAATATATAAGCTAGATTGTAACTTGCATTAAATTTTAGTTAACAACAAAGATTTGTTTATAAAAAAATAGTTTTGACAGTGACAAGTAAATGACAAATGGTGACAATAATAAACAAAAAAAAAACTACGAGTATACAGAAAGTTTCTTTAAAAAAAAAATTAAAACGGATGTTTTAAGTAGTTTGAAAACATTTCTTTTATTAAATTTTGGATCCTGACCTCGCATCCTGATATTCACTTTTTCCATAACTTTGATAATAGTAGTTGAGTTAAAAGTAATAACACTTTACACGATTTAAATATTTTACTCTTTTGATCTCTCAAGAAAATCATCATTTGGCAACACTAGATGATAATACTTCAACTTCAATCAAGTCATCTCTCCGGAATACAAGTCTTGTGCAAAAAATATATATTAACGATTTTTCTTTCCACACTAAATCTATTTTGTAAATTACTTATAACAAAAAATTAAAATTTTAATCATCGGATTCAATAAATTATTATTTTTATACACCTAAGATGTAATGACATGGTGAAAAGTGTAAAAAGTGTTATTACAAAGGTCAGTGTTATAATGTGATGATATTCCAATTGATAATAAAATTCAGCTGATCCTTGTTTACAACGTTGTAGTTATGTATTCCTTTGAGGGAGATTTTAGGCGAAAGCCTCAACAAAACTTGGCTGGCGCCAGTGCTCAGCGTAAAACCGATCGAGATGCTTTGATATTACAGTCGCAGCAGCAAAGACAAAAACGCGAGGTTAGTTGCAAATTTTGAATTATTATAGGACGAATGTCTTAAATAAAACGCAAATTATAACCAGAATTCAGTTTAGCATAAAATATATAAATATTTTTACATTGGCTAGTTTTTATTCAGCTAGAAAACATTCATGACATAGCATATTCAAGATTACGGTAAACATGTTTTACACAATCGTTATAAATAACACGGAGATATTAGATACTGTATATGTCCCTGACAACTTTGCAAAACTTTATAATTGAGTATACTGCTCAAAATTTGTTTAGAAGAAATTCTGGTGTATGTTTCTATGAATCTTGTTTGATATCTTCGTAATTATTTTAATAATGTAAAACTTGTGACATGAAATAACTAAAAGTGTCCATAAATATTATAGGAACATCGCAGAAGACTGAATAGTACAATCAAAATCCAAGCTTTTGTACGAAGCTACCTTATAAGGAAACATTGCAAGGAAGTTGAAAGAGAACAATTTGATACTATATTTCCAGGAGCCAATCCTGAGGATCAAAACTTAGTATCATTATTAGTAGCTAAGATATTATTCTTTTATGATGATCGAAAAGATTTTAATAGACTGGTAAGTGATAATTTTTTTAATAAAATACTTTTTTATGTATTTTGTAAGACATGGTAGCACAACACTTAGCAAGCAATTGATTATGTTATCTTATTGATGATTAGGAAAAAATCTTAATTAGTAGCCTATTTGTTCTTCCAGACTATGTTCTACATGTATGCCAAATTCCAGAAATATCCATGCAGCTGTTCTGAATTTATCCATCCATACAATTATTTGTATTTATAATATTAGTAGGAATAATTAATCTCATAGTTATATTCTATTTTAGGTGTCAATATCACAGCTATTACTGAAACAATGGCAAAAAGTGTTTCAAAGTGGAGGCTCTTCAATACAGATTAGGAGGTTACTTGCATTACATCTACGATTGCTGCAAAATGATTCCGAGGTATTTAATATTGTTGTGTCTATCATAGATATGTCTAAGATTAAGTTTTCAAATAGACAAGTTCAACCCCAGTGTTAATAAATACATAAATGTTTAAATTACGTAATTAACTAGTTACATATGTGTTTTTCCAGACTATGTTCTACATCTTTGCTAAATTTCAGTAAGATCCAAGCAGGTGTTCTAGATAAACCTTCTAACAAACATCCATCCAAACATTTGCATTTATAATAGTAGTAGGATATATTGCATTGAACAATGTTTAAATATTTTTATTTAATTTAGGTACCATTGGCAGTGCCATTGAGAATGTTAGAAGTTTTTACTTCAACACAATCGGCTGAGGCATCAATGACTTATGAAGAGGCTGTTAATGTTATTGGAGGGACATTTATATATTTGATCAAAAGAGGCGAGTAATCTTTAGATAAAATTATGATAAACTAGCTGTCGCACGCGACTCCATCTGCCTTGTTGATGGCCAGATTAAAAAATAACTTATTTGATATTTGCAGGCTACTTCAAAGACTTATGTAATCTTATGTGTCATCGGACACCACCTCTATATGGACCTTCACCAAATCCACCAACTCCACTGTGTGGCGCCCTGCTGGATTTAATCCAGAGACCACTCAATTTGACTATCAAAATCAATACATCACAATATGAGTAAGTTAATAAAATTTTAAATCCTGTGACAATAGATGCAATTTTATTATTTTATTAAGTTAATAGAAATAATTCATCATCATCATCAGCTCACTATACGTCCCCACCGAGGGGCTCGGAGCCTACCCTAAGTTAAGGGTGATTAGGCCATAGTCAACCACGCTGGCCTAGTGCGGGTTGGTTGACTTCACACATATCTTTTGAATTTCTTCTCAGATATGTGCAGGTTGCATCACGATGTTTTCCTTCACCGTAAGAACGTCGGATAAATGTACATATGTAAATCGGAAATCGAAAAACACATTGGTACATGGCGGGAATCGAACCCAGGACCTGCAGTTTGCAAGTCAAGTGCTTGACCCCTGAGCCACCGAAGCTCCCATCGCTCGCTCCATAGAAATAATTAACAGACAAAATTAATAAAAAAAATAATTAAATTTACTAATGAACTTTTTTTATTGTTTTGTAACTTGACATAAACTTAACATAACTTAAACATTTTTTTAGAGATACAGTTATGACGGAGTTTGCATCAACATTCTTGTGCAATCCGTATCCAGAGCCTGTGGAGATGTACATCTTACCTGCCCTAGCACAGGACCGTAACAGACCATTCCCCTTCTTGGGACTTCTACGATGTATGCGGGAGGAATGTAAATTTACTAGTGGCAAATTAATAAGTGACTCATGGTTGTTACATTCCATTTTGTCATTAGAACCTACTGGATTTGGTGAGTAAATAAAAATAGTAAGCTTCATTCACATAGACCATGTACCTAATCAATATATACAATGGAATATTATTTTCAATGTGTTTGTGCTCATTTTTGTAATATTAATTATTTTTTTTAGGTAATGAGCTACGTAATGTAGACAATTCAAAACTACCCAACAATCCAATAGTATTAGAATATCTAAAGATATTAGCCATGCTAACGGAGAATGTTTGCAATAAACAGATAACATATGAATATGAAGATTCATTGTACAGTCAGGAGACGGCTGCGGACAAAGATGATGATAGTGACAGTGAGGTGGAACCGAACCCAACGTCAGTGAGGGAACAAACATTGTTAACTAAATGTATAGAGATGTTAAATGAACCAGACAATTGTGTCATGATGACATGTTCTCAGATCAATGATAATGAACTCAGTGAGGATTTTTTAGAGTATATATCCAAGATCTGTCATAACTTACTTTTAAGTCACAAGATGGCGCTGCATAAGTACCGGTGAGTTTTGTTTCCAAATGGATTGAAAAATACTTAATTGGTAGACTATTTGTTCTTCTTGACTGTTTTACATCTAGGCCAAATTTCAGCAGGATCTATTAACCTGTTATGGTAATACCTATTAACTAATATTCATTTATCTATCCATCCATCCATACATCTAAACATTCGGTTTAATAATATTAGTAAAAGTAAGATTTTTACAGGTTACTGTACACATTGGCTTTTAAGCCGATATTTGTGCGTGGCGTGTGGCGCTGGCTGAGCAGCATGAACCAGGAGTCCCTGTTCGGCGGTCCCAACACCGCGCTGCTGGCGGTGCTGTCCCGAGGTGTGGTCACCACCGGCGTGGAGCGGCTGCTGGCGCCGCTGGCCGTCTTCTGCGCACTCTTCACCCTGCTCATTGGCACGCTGCATGATACTGAGTTCTTCAGGGATACCGGAGAAGATGACAGAGCGAATTTTGACTGTGAGTCGTAAAAGCGACATCTTATCAGTGCGGCGTCATTTTGATTCTTATAATTAAAAAAAAATTGTCTATGTACAGATAAGTGACTCATTTATTCCTGTAATTCATTACATCTAGTTGCATAATTTTAAATAAATTATACGAGTCAACTTACAACTTACAACTTTCACCATTTCACATACTTATTCGTATATTTTTATTTATTTCAGTAAGCGTTGCGGGTCCATCTGGCGGTCGTACCCACGCGTTCGAGTTCTCCGAGCTGGGGGGACTGTGCCGCGCGCTGCGCCAGCTGTGCCTGGGCCTGCTGGAGCTGGCGGTGCCGGACACGCGGCCCGCGCGCACCCCCTACAAGCACACCGCGCAGTCGCAGCACACACCCGCGTGGACACATCTATTTAAGGTACATAACTAACACTATTTGAGATTTATATAAACTAACTAAAACTAAGACTAAGTAGTAAGTCCATAGTTTTAGTTATAAACCTAGGTGTACTTGGTCATGTTTAAATGACCACAGTGTATTACTAATAAACGTATGGCCCGGTGTACTTCATCAATTTGGAAAGTATAAATCCGACTGGGAATGCCCCGACCGACGCTGCCGCTCATTTTCGCGCCATAAATTTTCTGTGTTATCTCCTCTCATACGTTTGAAGGTTCCTTAATAAATATAGTTATGTTGTGTCAGGTGTGCACGCAGCTGCTGCGGTCTCTGTACGCGCGCGACGAGCGGCTGCACTTCAGTGCGGGCGCGGCGTGGGCGGGCGAGCGCGATGACGACGCCACTGAAGTTGCCACGCTTGTTGCCTTCGCCCGAGCGCGCTCCAGGCAGAACGCTCCCCTTGTTGACGCCGCACGAGCTATCAATAATGGTGAGGACTAGTGGTATTTTATAAAAAAAAGATCCAATAATTTTAATAAATTTGTA